CTTTTCAAAATATAATGACATGAACAGATGAAGTTTAATGAAGGATACCGGCAAGGCCCATGGCTGTTACTGGTCATCTTGACATTCCTAAGTTCCCTTGGAATCCTTTCTCATGGCTTTTCTGGAGGTCGCGGTAAGGTTTCCTGGAAGCACTGAGAATACAGCTTGGATACGGCAGATTCCAGAACCAGATATAAGGTGGACCTCCTTAGGTTTCCTGGCCTCTGGAGGCAGCCACAATTGAAAAGTAAGAGAGCTGAGCAGTAGGAATTGAACTGGGGCATTCTTCCTTGGAAGAAATAGGTATCTATGGTCTAAAGTATCCTGGAAGCCGGTGTGGGAGTCTTGGCTAGAATGGTATCATCCCTGCATGAAGAGTGCAGTATCTTCTCAGTGCTGTGTGGAGACCACTCCAACAGGACACCACAGGATAGTGAGAAGCAAAGGAAAGCAAACTAAGGAGGTGTGGGAGCTGGATTTAACCCTTTGAGAGCGGTGCTGAGTCTCTGGAGCTCTTAGGAGAATCCCATAAGTAGAGTCAAGCTCAAAGGTGGGAGATTCTGAACTAATGCTAATTAGGCAGATATACAAAAAAAAGGAAAAATATGAAACATTACTATAATTATATTCTGAGTTTATGAAACATTTCCTACTAAATGTTACCACAAATGCATGACTATATGGAAATGTTTTACTTTACATATCTCCATTCTTCCACATTTTAAGAATTTGTATTATTTTTCTACTGCTATCATAATTACCACAACCTTGGTGGCTTAAACAACACAAATTTATTATTGCAATGGGTTGGAACTAATATGGGTGTGCCAGATTAAAGTCAAGTCATTGGTAGGAGTATGTTCCTTTCTGGAGACTGGGGCCGGGCAGGGGGCAGTCCATTTCCTGGCTCATTCACCTTCTTTGCAAAATTCAGTTCCTTACAGTGTAGAACTAAGATCCCTGTTTCCTTTCCAGCTGTCAGCCAGGGCCATTCCCGGCATCTAGAGGCACCCATATTCTTGGCTTGTAGCTTCCTTTTCCCTTCTTCAAGCCAGCAATGGCAGGTTGAATCCTCCTAACACACTCTTCTCTTTCTTTTCTACCTCACTTTTCAAGATTGATGTGATTAGACTCTAGGGCCCTCCCAAATAAACCATATATTCCCAACTCAAGGTCCTTAACCTTGATTACATCCACAGTGCATTTTATCCTATCATGTAATATATGCACGGGGGAATAGGATGAGAAGATTTGAGGGGACCCATTATTCTGCCCTCTATAGATTGTTTCAGGTTTTTTAATACTTAAAATATATTTTTTGAACTCCAATGAACAAATGCTTGTTTTAATTGATTCCTACAGACCTAAAACTCTTACTTCAAAGAGCAGAGGAATCATTTTACTTTTCATACTTTGCCTTTAAAATATAGGCTGCGTTGGAGAATATGTGGAGAAAAGGAAAGCCTTGCACTGTTGGTAGGAATATAAATTATTGTAGCCATTATGGAAAACACTATGGAGCTTTCTCAAACAATTAAAAATAGAACTACCATATGATCCAGTAATCCCACTACTGGGTATATATCCAAAAGAGAAGAAACCAATATGTTGAGGAGACACTGCATTCCCATATTCATTCCAGTGTTATTCAAAATAACCAAGATATGGAATCAACTAAAGAGTCCATCAACCAATGAAAGGATGAAGAAATGCAGTCTATACACACAATGAAATACTACCAAAAGAAGGAAATCTCTCATTTGTGACAGCCTGGATAAACCTGGAAGACAGTATGTTAAATGAAATAAACCACGCACCTAAAAAAACAAAACACTGTTTCACTTATTTGTGGAATTAAGAGTTGAACTCATAGGAGAGAGTAGTTACCAAAGGTGTAGGGTTGGGGAGATATTGGTCACAGGACACAAAATTTCAACTAGGAGAAATAACTTCAAGAAATCTATTATGCCTGTAGTGACTATAATTAGTATCAATGTGTTATATTTTTAAAAATATCTGAAATAGATTTTAAGTGGTTTCACTTTTAAAAAATGCAAGGCAATGCATGTTAATCAGCTCTATTTAGCCATTCAGCAATGTATACATATTTCAGAACATGTTGTACACCTTAAATTTAATATATACTTTACATATATATGTATATATATATATATATATGTATATTCATGTAGTCTTCAAAATGCCATGGCTTTCTTATCAGAAAAAAAATGTCAAACTTTTAAGTACAGCATTTGCCCTGCCATTACTAATATCTTCTTCAGTCCATTTCCTTATTTGACTTGGGGTTGATGAAGTAGTTTTGATAAACCTCCTGAAATAGATGCTAAGTTTCGTGTGTATGCTTATTTTTCTTTTAGGAAAAAGGTCCAGAGCTTGAATAAGATTTTCTGTAAGCATTTGTAAATATGGCCATGTGCTGGCATAACATTTGTCAATGACAAACTACCTATAGGGTGGTGGATCCCATAAGATCAGCAGGGAGCCAATTGCCTAATGGCATTTTAGCCATTCTAATGTCATAGAACAATGTATTTGTGGTGATGCTGGGGTGAACAAACCTACCGCACTGCCTATTGTATAAAAATACAGAACATACAATTATGCACAGTACTTAGTACTTAATAATGATAATGACTTACTGGTTTACGAACTTACTGCACTCTACTTTGGCCTATAAAATGCACTGTTTAACACACCTTATATATAAACAGAGATTTGATAAATTATGGTATAATGGTGTACTAAGAATTTTAATGCAAAAATAATTTTAAAAAATAAAATGCACTATTTCTTTTTTTATTATTAGTTGTTCAAAACATTACAAAGCTCTTGACATATCATATTTCATACATTTGATTCAAGCAGATTATGAACTCCCATTTTTACCCCGTATACATATTGCAGATTCACATCGGTTACACATCCACTCACTATTTCTATTGATTTAAGAAAAATAATAATTTAGTATAAAACAGGATGCCATGAGGGAAAAGGATAGACTTTGGATCTCCTATGTTCCTGATCCAAACTAAAACTGCTAAGTGGATGATGACACTTATGCGGGCGGAGAGGGAGGAAGATGAGAAGAAATATCAAAGGATAGCTAATTTGGTGTTGAACCACTGAGATGAGAACAGTTCAGGATGTGTTAAACTTGATGAACTTTCAAGATGGTCCAAAAAATCAAAAGGAGAAGGAAAGTCATCTTAACTAAGGGAACCTAAAAAAGAAAAGATAGTCACATTATTCATAATCAAATTCAAGTATGGATATGGTAAGGGTTACCATAAACTGTGTGGATAAATAACAAATAACAGAGCTACCACTGAGCCACAGCCACAGCTCCGATATACACAATTTTTAAGCTGTTTTTTACCTTTTACCTGGCTAGCTTTCGAATCCCATCACATACCTCCCCATTGCTGTTAATAACCTAGTATGTAGCCTCCAATGTTTCAAAACATCGGAGATATAGCATATATTCAGCAAAACTCATCTATTTTAAATGTATAGTTTGAAGCTTGACATTTTAATAGATTAAGCCACATAGATGATTTATGTAGCACTTTCATCAAGAAAGTGTATGCATTAAGTTATTATAAATACATAAACTTTTGCCAATAGTCCAATACTGCAATCCAACACTGGCCTCAGTATTTCCAAAAGACTAAGTATGAACACGCTCATTTCAGATGATTGTTTCTTGGGGGTTCCACACAAGCAGTTTGTGGAGCCTAGGTAATATTCAGTCTTTCTGGAAAGACCCAACGTTGGTACAGATCAATTGTGCCTCAAAGATATCCAACAATAAATGCCTCAGTGCAAGTCCAAGTGGCCAGGCTACAAGTCTGAATAAAGAAACTCCAGCTTTGATAGAAATAGTCTGGGTCTATGATGAATAGCAAATTGGTCACACTAAAAACGGAGATGTCACTGTTTCTTTTGTGGTTTCCTTTATTTTTTATTTATTTTTTTATGTTTTTAAAGAGAGAATGAGAGAGG